ACACATTTTGTTGACAGCTTTCAGTTTCTTGTCTTTTTCTTGTATGTTTAATGATGAGTGCTGGTAGCAAGGAGAATGTGCAAGAATTTACTATGATTCTAGAGCATAATTCATGAAGATTCTGAGCCGGAGTCTGGACTTTTTTTTTTTTTAAAGATGACCGGTAAGGGGATCTTAACCCTTGACTTGGTGTTGTCAGCACCACGCTCGCCCAGTGAGCGAACCGGCCATCCCTATGTGGGATCCGAACGCGGGGCCTTGGTGTTATCAGCACCGCACTCTCCCGAGTGAGCCACGGGCCGGCCCAAGGACTTTTTTTTTTAAGTTAACTCTCTTCTTGGTTGAAAATGGTTTAAATTCTGCCAATTTTAACATAGACCAAGATTCCTTACCAATGGATATTCTACTTACAGTTCTTGAAGTTGATTACACAACAAATATGGAGTCAATCTGCTGATCCATTTTGGTGCCCCATGCCTGTATTCTTACATATCATGCACATCTACAACGAAATGTATTCTTACATCTTTAATCTGATAAACACATGAACTCTCCTCTATGAGAGGAGTCCTTGCTTCTCCTACTAGGTGACCTTGGAAAATCACATTATTGTACATGTCTCAGAACCTCTGTAACCCAATTAACACATTAAACTAATAAACATTTACAGATGAAAGAAAAAATATTACTTCTGAACTTCATTCCCGCCTTTCTGAAATAGCAATAAGCCTAATATGAAACATGTTATACTCCAGAGTTTCCCCAACCACCTCAGTGTCAATGATATGGTTAAATCTTATTATGTTCTCCACAAAGCTAATGTTTAGACTTGACAGAGGCACCTGTGCAAAGAATGGACCATCTGACATGCTACTTGTGGAACAGTATATTAAAGAAGCCTGTTAACATGTAGTTTAAAACTCAAAAGAAACTCTGAACAGCTGAAATGCCTTATAAATAGCGCAGACCCAGAGGAAGTGCAAACGTCTGCATTGTGAATTGTAGATCTTAATTACCGACAATGGCTGGTACAGCAAGTAGCACAGAAAAAAAGTGAAACAGTTGCACTGTTCATGGTTGGCAATAATTCTTCAGGAAAATATTTACTATCAATCAGTTATGAGAAAAGGGACTCTGTGCTCGTAAAACAGCACGTTGCTTCTCATACCAGGACCATTTTGCTTCAGCATAATCTGAATTTAAACAGCTTGTTTCCTGCGGATATAATTTTGGAAATAAATAAAACAAGTCTTCTATCAAAATCTGGAGTGAGTAGGAAGGAACATCACATTTTTCTGTCGCAGTCAGTTTCAAACAGATTATTAGTCTCAAGTAAAAAAAACAATAACAACAAACAACAACAACTAAAATACAGTACATCTACAAATGACTACTAAAGGGGTTTGTTTTCCAGACATAAATAGGCAGAACTTCTATCTGGGCTGGGAATCTACGTATCCAAATAACTAAATTTTAACTGTATGTGTTTGTGTATATGTGTGTGGGTGTGGGGAAGGGAAAAGCCTTAAACCAATATTTTCAATAATATTTTAGTCAAGTCAATAAAAATATAACATAAAAAAATTAATGCTCTTCAGTTTTCCACTTAGTTTTCTTTCCCAATCAAAAAACATCATGAAGGTTGATTATCAGGCACAATGTGATTATGGACTTTAAAGACTAAGTTGACAGTCAATAATTACTGTCCATTTAAAGCTACAATAACTACAGTGCTCACCATGTTCCAAACACAAATCTCATGAACTACAAGGCCATAATTAGGAGAAAGGCTTTTGAAAAAAATAAACATTTTTATCCCTCCAAATATTACTCAGATCAAACTATAAACTAATGAAATGATACTTCCCTCATTTTTATTTTTAAATATTTTCTTAGGCCTCTTTCTTCAAGTTAAAAATTCAGAAGATTATTGTTAGCATAGGGTAGCAGTAGTTTCTCTTACAGCTTTGTTTTCTTGTATTTTAAAGAACACCAATGGGTAGGTACCCTTTTTATAGAGCTATTATAAGACTAAGATGTTTCTGGCAAAGAGTCACATACAGTGTTCTATAGGGGTCCAAACATAACAACCTTGCTGCTTTTAAGGAAATAGCTGATACTAATGTCTTCTCTAAAACTCACATAAACAGTATTCAGTAATAAAGTTTTGGATTATAATTAGTATTTCTAACCAAACCAATGTCACTCTTACCAGAATCCAGTTTCTTTGAACTAGAGGACAAAAATGGTTGATATCACTATATTGCAGTTATTCTCACATGGAGATGATTGGACATTGAGGCCACATTGGAGCACAATCTGAATCAACAACAGACACCTGCACCAAGTTAGAAAAACACTGCAGCCGTATCAATGCAGCAGACGAAACTATTCAGTTAAGTGCTAACAGTGAAGAACAGGAAATAGGGACAACCTTGCAGACATACAAAAATAATGGCAAGTCATTTCTTTCAAAGGTCAAGCAATAAATGAGGCCAAATAGAAACAGTACAGAATCTTGAGATACATGCAACACATGTAAACAAAAAAGGGAGAATTCACTATTCCCACACTATTGGTAGCTCACTGAAGGCTGTTGCAATAAAGAAATTTCTTTCAGCTACATGTTTTTATTTGTTATTGATCAACTGATTATTTGGCTCAAATCTGAAGCAACAAACCAGAAGACAGGATGTGGGAAAATGAAAGGAAGAAGGAAATTAGTTGGGTTCCAATAGGAAATGATAGAAATCATTATTATATTAGAGTATTTAAGGGGACAATGAAAAGATATAGGTGTCAGAATAATGTTAAAATAAGTAAAAATGGGATGAGAGGGTCACCATCTGGGAACAAGTGAAACAGACTGATAAGCAGCAATGAGAAAACATTTCCTCACCCAAGAGTGTGGAAGAAATTACATCATTGTGCCAGATGCCAGAAGATTTCTAACCATGCACCACTGAAGTAGAGGGTGGGAGAAACAAACGAATAAACAAACCCCACATAATACTGACACACACCAACATAACTGTGTAGCTTAGAGATCCTGGCTTACAAACTATGGAGAAAACAAAAGGAACAGATGCTCACTTGGCCAGCTCTCAATGAAACTCATCAAAATCACCACCCTGTCCTTGGATTGGTGTTCATGCTAAGATTTTACCTTGTTTAGCCAGAACCCACCCACTTGTAATGAAACTGAGAGCAGTGTGGCCAAAAAGGAGAAAGGCCCAAATAATTGTACCCCTATCTCCGTGTACAAATGCTGAATACAGAATAGTGTCAACTGGCACTTGCTAGTTCTGACTAAATGACTGAAAAAATAAATATATGTAATTTATATGACATCTTGCAGCAAATTATTAAGACATTTAAAAATGAGACACAACTGATGTACTTTATTACTATAATTTTTAATAAATTATTTTAAATTTTTATTTTTTCTTAGTTTTTATTTTTCTTTTTGTGTTTTTTTGTATTTAATTTTTAATAAATTCTGTCATTTCTTATGTGGATTACTCCATTGGTTATATTTTATATATTTTCAGTTGATAAAGTAGGCCCAGAGACTACCGCATGTTTTAATACAAAAATAGTAAAAAATACTGTTGTTGTTACAGTCTGAATGTTTGTGTCACCCCCAAAACTCATGAAGGCAGAAAGCTTATGAATGGGATTAGTGCCCTTATAAAGGACACCCCAGAGAGCCATCTAGTCCCTTCCATCATGTGAGGATGCAGCAAGTGAGCCTTCACCAGACACTGAATCTGCTGGCACCCTGATCTTGGACTTCCCAGTCTCTAGAACTATAAGAAATAAATTAATGTTGTTTATAAGCCATGCTGTTTACGGTGTTTTTTGTTATAGCAGCCCGAATAAACTAAAACAGCTGTCCTGGGATTATTGTAGCAAAGGATGGACACTACCTGACACTAGTCCTGGCTCGAATAATAACAGTAAGTAATTGAGGGACTGGGTGTATAATACAAGATTGAACTAAAATAGTTAAAGTTGGGAATGTTGTAACAGTGACAAATCCCTGAATGGTTGTAAAAGCAATGTTTCTGCAGATAAGCAAAAGTCTAGAAACAGAACCCATACTGAATATTACTTACTCCTGAAATAATCAAAATGGCTGACACTTGAATTTAACTCAAAGTTCTGGAAATAATCAAAATTATTATGGAAAATTTGAGTAATGGTTGATATGAAAAGTCTCAGGTCTCTCATGCTTAAAATTATTTTTGTATCTAGGCTATAGATATGGCATATATTTATACACGAGAAAGAGGTAGCTCATAAGCATGACCAAACATACTTGTCCACTCAGATGAATATCACCAAAAGCAATATTTCTAACTTTAGCCACTCAATAAATAACAGTGACATAATAATTAGGTGTTCTATAGCATATCTGATGACTCTTGTAATGATATACTCTATACTTAATTGCATTTAAAAACCATACACTTATACAAATAATTGTGCATTATCTTATTCAAATTTTACTAGTCTGTGATTATCTATAACTAGTGCCAAGCAACAAATGTGAATAAGTCTAAAGTGTGACCAGAATACAAGGATACTTAAAAAAGTTCATGGAAAATTACAAATAATTGTGCATTATCTTATTCAAATTTTACTAGTCTGTGATTATCTATAACTAGTGTCAAGCAACAAATGTGAATAAGTCTAAAGTGTGACCAGAATACAAGGATACTTAAAAAAGTTCATGGAAAAATAGAATTAAAAGATAATAGGAATCTTTCTGTGAATTTTCTGAAGTATCCTAGTATATAACCAAAAGATTCTGTTGCAACTGAAGAGATGGAGACTTCAACTTGCAAGCCTCCGGATAAAATGATGTCTGTTTGTATTATTTTTCTTAAATATATAATCTATAATAATCTTTAACAACAATACTAACTAAAGATGCCTATAGATACAGCATTGCTATAATGTGTCATATTACAAAATTAATGAGTAATATTACTTACTTTGGTTACACAATTTTCAGTCTTCATAGCAGTGCTTGCTAGACATACTGTTTCTTGGTTTAAGCAGAGTCTGGCACAGCTGTTGTAAGTCTGTAAAGAGAATTTTTTGGAAACAGGTTTTTTTAGATATTGAAATACTGTCATATACAATTATCAAATTCTACTCTATTTCTCAAAATCAACACACAAATAGATTTTATCTGTAAAGTCCAGATTTATGGAGCTGATGGACAAGGTAGAGAGGGGAAGGCAAAGAGAGAGCCCATAAAAGCCACTAATGTGGCTATGAACAACTATGTGAGCAGCAGTGGCTTTGTTGTATGTGTGGAAGGTGGGGGCATTGGTTACGTAGCATTTTTTAAATGCAAATTTTAAGGGATCTTAAAATGTCTGTTCTGTTTAAAACAGCAATTACCATTTTAAGAAAAAGATTATTTTTATTGTTTTTCTTACCTTCAAAACCATCAAGACTGGAAAGGGATGAGAGTGCATGTTTCTTATTCATAACAATGAATAAAATAATTTTCAAACTATGCAGAATATGATTCTAAAACTAATAATGAAATCTTTTAAGATAATCTCAATACAAGTATATTAAGCTTTGATTTTTCACTACAGGAAGAAGAGATAAACCAAACTTAAGAGCAGAACATTAAAAAATGATAAACCAACATTTATCCAGATCTTAAAATCACCCCATAAATACATTTAGTAGCCTGTTCAGGATATAAATTAAAATAGAACAAACTACAGGAAATGGATTTAAAAACATTGGTTATAATATATTTATGCTAAATTTATGGTAAGTAAACTCATTACTAATAACTGGCAAATATATTAATAAAAATAAAATGTTTCCTTTTAGCCTTAAGTCTTTACTTAAGCAAATTTAAGTCAGTGTGTGGCTGACTAAAGTGCTTTTCATATGCAAGCTCTATGAATTTGCCCGTTCTTGTGTCCCAGAATTAAGCATGGAGTGCCTCCTCTACTATTCTGCAGGACACTGTACCCTACTAGGCAAAGTCAAAACACCACATTTAAGGAGGTGACAGTTTGCATAATATCACTGTTTTAAAGGATAAACATTTAAGGAAATATTAAGTGGGAGAAAGCTAACAAGGCTTTCAGAATATTATCAGTACCTTCATTTCTACTATTCAGATGTTATGTAATAAAACGCATTTTCTTTTCTTTCCCAGATGCACTGTATACTTGTTGAAAGTTAACTCTATAAAATGTATATATTTTAATTTGTGATTTTTTTCTATTTATAAATTTAATATTTTAACTGTTGCTCATTTATGGTTTTGGGTGGTTTTGTTCATCTGTATACCACCATGTTAATTTGTAATAGAAGTACATTGCATAGTATATATACTGACATCAAAACACTTTGTAGCAAAACAAACAAAAAACAAACAGATTGCTAGGTTCCATCCCCAGAGCTTCTGAGAATTTGCATTTTTAACATGTATGTAGTTGATGTTTATACTGCTGGTCTGGGAAGACAGACAATCTCTCATAACCAACCATAGAAAAAAATCTTTTCTGAGAATTTGCATTTTTAACATGTATGTAGTTGATGTTTATACTGCTGGTCTGGGAAGACACAGACAATCTCTCATAACCAACCATAGAAAAAAATCTTTTTTTTTTTTTTCAAATTTTAAGATAATTTTAGACTTATGGAACAGTCACAAAAATAGTAGAGTTCCTATATACTCTTCACCTAACTTCCCCCAATGATACTTCCCTAATACTACATATATCAGGGGAGACTATGCAAATATTCTGTTTCTGCTTCAACTTTTGCCTGTTAATTTTAGCATCCATTGGTAGATCTTGCATATGGTAATGTTTACCATGGTGTTCTAATGGTGAATTTTTTATTTCCCTCTTTTCTTGTACATTTATTAATGAAAATTCTTTCTCTCTCCATTTATTTATATCAGCATGGACACAGACATTTTAAGAAATTTGATTTTGGTCAACTATCATTCTTTGGAAAGAGAATAGGTAGATATGAATAAAATTTAAGAAAAAAATGAAAAAAAAATAGTGGAGATATATAGCTCCCCACCAATATCATAAACTGAGTTTTTCCTTTTAAACAATTTAAACTTTAAAAAATTTATCCATTTAACTGTTTTATTCTTATAGCATTTAAGTTGAAATTATTTCATACATATATTAAAAAAATTAATTGACACATTTGCGATTAGTGTATAGATAGGGACCACTGGTAAACATATATACTGGGCTTGGGGTTTGGTATTTCTTTTACAATTACTAATACTCAAATATTAAATACTCACGCACACAAAATGAGAGTATTTTTTGTAATGAAATGTACCATGTTTTTCAAAGACATTTATGAAGTAATGTTATTACTGAATAAAATAAAACCTTTTCTTGAATAAAATAAAACTTTAATCTAGAGTTCTGGTTCCAATAATGGCAGAAATGTTTGTATTGGGTTACCCTTCCTGCATATAACAATTATAAACTACAAAAAAAGGCACTGGACATTGACTTAAAATAGGCAGAAGTGGGAAGAACAGACTGATGCTGAAAGAAGAGAACCACACTGAGTGAGATGTGCTTCTCCTCTCATGGCACTCACCAGATCCACTTGGTGCAGGGTGACTAGAATTCAAGTAGAAAGCCACAGTCTATCGGCTTCAGATATCAGAGAATAGGGTAGATTTCGAGAGTGCCATAGTGGCTGACAATTGAGACGAGAAATTCTAGAAAGGAGAGACAACCATGGGGGAGGGAGGAAGGCTCAAAAAATGCTCATAAATTTCCTTCAAATCCACGGCTAACCCCCAAACTATATATTTAAAGGGAAGTCTCCAAGGGTTCCAATGGAAAGCAACAGCTGGAAGGCTGAAAGGCCTGAACAGAGATTCCAGCTGCTGCCCATGAAGGGAGAAAGAGTTTCGAATTTGACTCCTACCAGAGGGGCTTAATAAGCATTTCAAACTTTCCACTGAAAACTAAGAAAGACTATGAGCTGAAACTAAAGACTATGCCTTAGGACTAAGGGTAAAACCAAAACACACCTGACCTAAAAAATGTAAAAACAAGACTTCACAAGGCCACAGTAATCAGTCAGTAATTTAATCAGAGGAAGATTAAAAAAATACAGAATGTCTACTACATAGTAAAAAATGACTAGACATGAAAAGAAGATAAATGGGACCCATAATTAAGAGGAAAATGAATTTTTAAAAAATGACCCTGAAATGACCTAGTTGTGGGAATTATTAGCACATAAGGGATCTAAAGAAGCTATAATAAATATTTTCAATGACTTAAATGAAAGATATGATCACAATGAGTAAACAGATGAAAAATTTCACCATACAAATAAAAACATAAAATGAAGTAAACAGAAATTTTAGAACTGAAAAGTCATTATCTGAAATTAAAAATTCACTACATGGGCTTCAAAGGAGGTTGGAGGTGGCAGAAAAAAGTTCAATGATTTTGAGGACAGATCAATTGAAATTGTATAAACTGAAGAGCAGAGAGAAAAAAAGAACAGAGTCTCAGTCATTTGTGGGACAATTTCAAGTCATCTAATGTGTAATTGGAGTCCTAGGAGGAGAGAAGAGAATGGGGCACCAAAACAGTTATAAAAATAAGATCAGCAAATCGCAAGCAGATTGAATACAAAGAAAACAAACACCTAGACCAAACAGTCAAAATTGCTGAAAACCAGTAACAAAGACAAAACCTTGAAAGCAGACAAGGAAAAAAGCAATGTTATATATCTGGGAGCAACAATATAACTAATGGCAGGCTTTTAATTATAAACAATGAAGGCTGGAAGTAAAGTTAACAACATTTCAAAAGCGCTGAAAGGATGAAGAACTCAAACCAGTTCTCTTACTTTAGAAAAGAGAATTACAAAAATGAAAAGGGAGAAATCTTGAACAAACCCTGTAGTGTTGGATTGGAATTGGAGGTATCAATGTGAACTCACAATTTTCAAAATATATACATACAGATGTACAAGAAAATTTAGCATTTAAATCTTGGCTTCTAAATACCATTCTACTTTAAAAGGAACCATAGATCTCCGGAGAAATGGCTTATTACAGGACTGACCAGGGAAAATACAAGATGAACCTGGAAATACTCAGAGAATGATGGAGCTATGTCAAAAGGGTACAGAAGCCAGCCTAAAGAGGCTCTCAGCTCAATATGGAAAAATCTGAGTATTAGAAGATATTAACAGATTACAACCTGTTGAATAAATAGGAAACATTTCTGGAGAGATCCAATTATCAAAATGGACACAACACAAAATGGAAAATCTGAATAGCTCTATACCTATTAAACAAATTGAAATTGTTACAAAAAAATCTTCCCACATAAATTTAAATAATTACAAAAAAATCTTCCTACAGAAAACTCTAGGTCCAAATGATTTCAATGGTGAATTCTGTTAATTCTTTTTTTTTTCCTTTTTGTCTTTTTTTGTGTCCGGCAACGGATCACAACCCTCAGTGTCGCGCCCGTACCGGACCAGGACCGGCAACGGGATCGCAACCCTCGGTGTTGCTCCCACACCTTGCTCAGCCAGTGAGCGGGAACCGGTCTGTATGTGGGATCTGAACCCTCGGCGGGAGCACCACCGTGCGCCACCAGGCCGGCCCGAATTCTGTTAAATTTTAAGGAAGAAATAACATCAGGATTATACACAAAAGCTTTTTAAAAATGGAAGAGAAGGGGAAGACCTACCAACTCATTTTATGAGGCCAGCATAACCCTGATACCAAAACCTGACAGTTAACTCATTTTTGACATGCACCCATGTAACTCAATGGGCTAAAGGAAATTCTTTTCAACAAGGGTGCTGAAACAACTGAATAAAAATATGTCAAAAATAATGAACCCCAGGGCCGGCCCGGTGGCGCACTGGACAGTGCACAGCTTGGGAGCATGGCGGCGCTCCCGCCGAGGGTTCGGATCCCATGTGGAGACCGGTTCCCGCTCACCGGCTGAGCGTGGTGCGGGTGCAACACCGAGGGTTGCGATCCCGTTGCCGGTCCCCGGTATGGGCGGGACACCGAGGGTTG